GACATATCATGTAAGAAAAAGGAATATAATTTATGTCAGAACATTTTAATTACATTAGATAAATTTGAAAAAAAATAATTTTTTTTAGATTAATATAACAGAAATTGGGAGACACAGCATGGAAGCAGATTAAACAAGAAATCAGCACAACAGAAATTCAATTTCCTTAAAAAAAAAAAATAGTAACGGTAATATAAAAAGAAAAACTTCAAGAGCTAGCCACCAAGAAAGAATCGCAGATAAAAATGGCCGCCGGAGCAATCTTCTTCCTCCCCGCCCCTCCGCCTTCCCCCTCCTTGCACCTCCCAGACCTCCTATACTTTCCTCCACCACCGTTACCAAAACATCCCTTCTCATCAAGTCCATCTTCATCTTCCCCTCCTCCTCCCTCCATCTTTTTCTCCGGCAGAATCCGAAGCCGGAGACGTCCACCAGACCTCTCAGATTCAACAGCAAAAGGCTTGAAAGGAATAAGCAGAAGCCTCCCTTTCTCCCTCTTTCTCCCGAGCCGCAGTCGCCCTTCACCGCTAAGCGTCGTCAGTGGAGGCGGAAACTCCGGCGGCGTTGGGTTCTTCTTCTTCTTCTTCTTCTTCCTCTTCTTCAAAGAACCTATTTCGAGTTCATAACCAGAGCACATTGCCCCAGTCTCGCACCCAAGAGTCTCAGTGCACATATCAAGATTGCTATTTGTACTAAGCGTTTGCTTCGCGTAGATCGCCGGAAGCGGAGGAGCAATATCCATTACTGGATTGTTGAGAAAATTGACAGATTTTAAGCCATGGAAGCTTGCTCTGTTTTCTTCAGAGCCTTGGTTCTCAGCGAAAACCCAAACAGGGCGAGACGATCTGTGGAGCTGCTGCGGCTTTATTATATCGTCTGGATTAGTTTGGGAATCTAGGCATGATTGAAGGCCATGGAAAACCGATAAGGATGACATGGACGGCATGGCTGGAAGCTTAATAAACGAGAAATAAGCTGAGTGAATACTAAGACTGCAGTCATAGAAATTCTATGAAGCCATTACCATAGAGAGGAGAAGAAGAAGAAGAACCCATTCGTTTATATAGTGGAAGGTGAGAGAAAAACAATGGCTCCTTGCTTGTGGAGAAAGAGTAGTTTCGATAAAAATAATATTCTATAAAAATATAAAAAGTACAAATTTATTTTAAAATATTATTATTTTTAATCA